ATTTTCCTTCTTGGTTGGACACATGCAGCAGATGTAACATTATGTAAAGGTAACTCCATAACTGTTACCTAGCAACCATAATGCAAACATGGGCCAAAACACCTTTATTTTGGCAGAAAGATTCTGTTTTAGAACTCAGCTAGAACTCTTCTTTTTAACTTTTTTTTTTCCACAAACTGTTGTCAAACTGTAATATATTAACCACAATCCATGTATCATTCGTTCATTCGTTTTTCAAAATAAAACCAAAAATAAGAAAACGAAAAAACAATTATTTTCTTCATTATTTGTCTCCAAAACCAAAATGAAAAACGGATAATGATTAATTTTTTCAGTTTTCTATTTTGTGTTTAAATGAATAATGGAAAAAACGGATAATGACAGTTTCCCGTTTCCGTGACCCGGAAGTGACACATTTACCTAAGTTAAGCAGAACGTGCCCTGGACATACATCAGGGGTGTCCATACTTCGTCAGCATGCGAGCTACTTCTAAAATAACCAAGTCAAAATGATCTACCAACCCCAAAGCCAAGCAAACTGTCCTGCACTGAAACACTCTGCGACTCTTTTTTGGACCCTCACCCACAGTTTGAGAACCTGTACTTTAAGAGAACTTCCACTGGCACTTTACACAAAACTGTGAACAAAGTGAAGAAAGTGGGTAGGAGTTTGAAACCTTTCATTCTCTTACTGGTTTCACGGTGCTATTTAAAAGCCTCTGCACATTTACCAAACCAAACGGACATTTTGAGAAATACAGATGCATTTGTCCACTTTTATAAAGCAAACTTCAGTCACATGTTGCAGTAGGTCTGTTCTGTGTTGTAGGCTCCTCTATGCCAACATTGTAACATAAATTTCGATTTGTTTTTGCTTCATGTTTAGTCTTGCTCTTCTAATCAGCGCATTGAGGAGTGAGCCTTATGTGAGCTTTACACGGGGAGGAGCGAGAGCGTGAAAAGGTGAGGAGTGAGGTGCTGATGTGAGACAGTTTAACAGGTAGGATGTTTTAAAAAGTTGAACCTGCCCTGTGATACACGCTGGTACACGAGGACTCACGCTGTTGCGGACAAGCCGTGCGGAGGGAGCGTGCGTGTTTGTGATGTGTCGCACAGTATCCGCGGGTTCCAAATGAGCGCACAGGCTGCAGTGAGACGCCCCGTGCACTCCCACACACTTCCACACCTTCCCACCTGCCCCTGTACACTCCCACTCGCTGGTACAAGTTTATTGCCGACAGCAGCGCAAACTAATAATAGTGATGAAGAAGGCACTAAAGTTCACCGTTTATGATCATACAAAGTAAACAGTAATAATGAAAAAAGTCAGGATTTTGGTTTTAATTTATGGTCGTACAAACAAATAGTGATGATAAAGAAGGTTTTTAGGTAGGTTATGATCATACAAAATAAACAACATTGAGAAAAAAAACAAAAAAAATCAGTGTTGCTTGTTTAGAGGAAGATTCATTTACACGACACATTTGACATTTTCACAATTTTGATGATTAAAATGGGTGTTTTTTTTATATTCACTTTGCACAAGAAGTGGTTTAAACAAAGACTTTAAGTATCACAACCATGATTTAGACTTTATTTTGTATTGAACTGTGTAGAATTGATTTGAAATATATCATATCAAATTGAAAGCTCACTGTATCGAGATGTATCGTATCGTGGCATGTTTATCGAGGTCTGTATCATAACTTCTAAATGATACCCGGCCCTAGTCATAAGTATTGTTCTGAACTTTACCGATAATAATAATAATAATCAATAATAATGTACTGAATTTATACCGTCACCATCACCAACAACAACCTGCCCTGTGATACACGCTGGTACACGAGGACTCACGCTGTTGCGGACAAGCCGTGCGGAGGGAGCGTGTGTGTTTGTGATGTGTCGCACAGTATCCGCGGGTTCCAAATGAGCGCATAGGCTGCAATGAGACGCCCCGTATACTCCCACACACTCCCACGCCTTCCCGCCTGCTCCCGCACGCTGGTACAAGTTTGTTGCCGACAGCAGCGGCCGCATTGAAATATGATCGCACTTGTCGAGTGTCAGACCTCGAGTGAGAGACAAGACTGAGTCCAAACGCAATCAAGTCCGAGACAAGTACTACGACACCGCGATCTACCTACACTTCCTTGGAGATTGAAGGCTGTATCAATTGGTGGAGTTTCTTGAGCGCACCACATGTGCATATTAACCATTGAATTTATAATATTTGTTTGAATATTGTTTAATGAAGTTACAATGAAGTTAATGCTTAAACACTGAAAGGTACCACTGTGTGAAACATATATGCTTTTAAGGAATTTCTTTGCAGAGGCTAGGTTGTAGAGACATCCCAGACTGGCATTATCTAAACAAGACTTTCACTAGCTAGGACCACACCAACAACGACATAGTGCGAAGAAGTTTATTGATAATGTACGAAGCGGGGCAGAGATGGCTATGGGGTGAGACTCTGGGTGGGGGCTCCGTCTCAATCTTCAATAGGCCAGTTTCATTGTTAACAAAAGCGCGCGTTGCATGCTGGGAATTATTTTGGTCGGCGGCAAGAAACATTAATTCAACATGACGGACGGAGCGAGAAAGCACGTAAAGAGTATTGATGCTGGTTATTTATCCACTCTAACAGCAGAGGACCCAAGACCATTTGACCAGAAATTGGTCATAAGCATCGACGGACGACAAATCACCCTTTTCAACCCCGACAAAAGGTGGACTAAACCAAATTTCTGGTCGGAATCGCTTTCACATTCACTTCGGCGACATCCACAATGACTTGGTGGAAACTCCTGGGCCATTCACAGCAGAAAAGATGAAAACCTCCAAGAGTCTCGATGTGTTGTTGAACTTGTTGGAGTCCACAGTTTGCTAGGATCTTCTACGTTTGCTCTGCGGATGTTTGAAAGCCGTTTAATTCTCCGAAAAAGACATTTTCCTTCTTCCGTGCTTCTATTTGTGCATCCGATAATGCAGCAGGAATTTACCATTATCGGGGATAAATACGCGAGGTTACGCACTGTGTTTGACGCTACCGTGTTTCTTGCCTCTGACCAAAATATTTCCCAGCATGCAACGCGGGCTTTTAATAACAATGACGTCAGCTGAAACTCACCTATTGGCCCCCTCCCTTGTAGGGAAAGACAAAATAGGGGATGGGAGGGTGGGGTTGACAAACTGGGATGATGGGAAAGGCTGCTACAAATAGACTTCTGGGAAATTCGAGGCGTGGTCGAGGTGAGTTGTGGTTCGCTGGTGAGAGGAGAGAGCGGCTGAGGCGTGGTCCTGCTCCTGAATCTCACTTAATCATCTTAACTACATTTGTGGTGATTTACAAAGTGGGTTTGTCATCTGCTCACAGAGAAGAAATGCAGAGACGCTTGAAGAAGGATCCAAGGCACGAACCTGCTAAACATATTATTTGCATATTCATACTGTTGTTTTATATCTCTGGGTTGAGGGAATCCCGTGTAGATGTCGGCCATCAGGGGCAGCGATTTGACCCAGAGCTCTGTATTAGAATTGTATTGGAAAGGGAATACATTTTTTGTGATTTAAATTGATAGATTCTAGTCATTTTTGGTAGAACAGTGAGTGTGAGTTTATTGCCTGTATTTTTAATGTTTCATTCATGTTAATTCACCATGTAATATAGAAGTCACTGTGTTCCTTGACGTGTTGTGTATGTCTCTGGACTTTGGAGTGTCAATGGGGTTGGGAAATAATGTCATATGGACTATGAATGTATACGGGACAGAGAAGGGGTGTGTCTAAACCTTTAGCGTATGCCAATTTATGATAAACAAAATTGCTGTGTATGTTTCTGCTGAAAATGCTAACTCAACAAGTTATGCCAGTATGAAGGCACCTGGTTTTTCTGTGTATGGTCAGAACGGGGGACGTCGTCTAAGGGGCGTTATCGAGGGACGACGACGCAAAGAGACGGCGTGTGAATGAATCACGTAAAATCAACTTGAATCGGAAACCAATAAAGAGACATGTTTGGGAAGTGTTTTAACTCTCCAAGACTCTTTTTTTAAGATTCTCTGTTCAGGTTGCCTCCAGGAGAAGCTGACAACGCCTAACAAGATCAACTGGTGGATCAGGAATCAACGTATTGGGCATCGCTGACAGACACGTATATGCCTGTGGAAAGTGCAAGATGGAAACTCATGTGGAAATCTACCTCCTTTTTTGCAGAAATAAAAGAGAAACCCTAAAACCAAAAGACACGACAACAGAAACTATTGGTGTCGTATTTCAGGTATGTTCTTTTTATTTAAAACAAAGTGATAATAGACTGAACGTAAGTATTATTTTTGGCCTTCTGCCCAATCTGCGGTCGTGCATCTCTAGTTTAAATGGAGGTAGTGTTAGTGCGCGCAGCCAAAACAGAAACTATTGCTCACATTATTCTTATGAATGGATGAATGAATAAATGAAGTGCTCTGCTTGTTCTTTTGCTTGAGCATGTTACAAAAATCATGGAGGTTTTTATACAGAATTGTAATAAACGCAAAATGGCTGTTATCGTTTTTTTTTTTTTTTTTTTTTTTTTCTTCCATTATCCATTTAAACACAAAATTGAAAACTGAAAAAAAAAAAGTTATTATTATTATTATTATTAGTATTTTATTTTTTTTTAGATTTTGGAGACAAATAGATAAGAAAATAGTTGTTTTTTTATTTTTTTTAAATTTATTTTTGGTTTTATTTTGAAAAACGAATGAACGAAAAACATGAAAAAAATACTTATGCAGTTTAAATAAAGCTTCATGCAAATATGCTTTATGTAGATTTAAGGCAAATAAAATATCGCCCACTGCTGGAGGTTTAAAACTACTGCACATCGCATCAGATTTGTGAAGTTGTAGTATATTGTAATGTATCACGCTTTTGAATATTTGTGAGGAAAAAAAAACAAAAAGAGAAAAAAAAAACAGCCCAGTAATTATTTTAGTATCTGATAAAGTTACTGATACCTGCAGGTACGATGACCCTCTTCTCCTCAGTGCTGCCCCCTGGAGGAGAACTTGTGTTGGGGGTTGGAGTCGCTGTGCTCTGTGTGTTCTGGGGGCTGTAGGGCTGGTACTGCATGGCTCTACCCCCAGAAGGAGAACCGGAGCCGGGGTACGCCATCGTGGATCTGCCCCCGGGAGGAGAGCCAGAGGTGGGGTAAGATATTGTGGATCTACCCCCAGGAGGAGAACCAGAGCTGGGGTAATTTATCGTAGATCTACCCCCGGGAGGAGAGCCCGAGGTGGGGTACGACATCGTGGATCTACCCCCGGGAGGAGAGCCCGAGGTGGGGTACGACATCGTGGATCTACCCCCAAGAGGAGAACCAGAGCTGGGGTACGTTATCGTAGATCTACCCCCAGGAGGAGACCTGCTGGTGGGTGTGGCGTTGGAGCTCTGGGGGCTGTAGGGCTGGTAGGACATGGAGCCATCGCTGCTGATGTGTCTGGAACGTTTGGTGACGCTGCAGTCCACCGGAGACTCACGGCTGCAAACAACAACATCTGTTAAGTCTAAGGTGACCAGATGTCCTTTTTTTACCCAGGACAGTCCCAGTATTGAGTCCTGTGTCCCCTGTCCCTGCAGAGTTACACAAAACCACTGATTTGTCCCAGTTTTATACACGAAATGTCCCAGGTGTCCCTATTTTTGACCAGTCTGATCCCTGCCAACAGTAAAGAGAGACATACACTGTCATTTGTTTAGGTGAAATACAGAAAAGCTGCTTAAAAATGACCAAAACACAAAGAAAATGTGACTATATTGACACATGTTCGTCATGAATGGACTGAGTGCAGAACAGTTTTCCTTAATTACGCACTCGTTTCACAGTTTTATTACTGCCAAACATCTCAAACCGGGGGTGTCCCAGTTTTTTATTTTGAAAATCTGGTCACCCTAATAAAGTCTGAACTATGAACTGTTTGGGAAAATGATCAAATAGCTAATTTTCTAACAAGCGATTTGCGATTTAAATTAAAAAAAATGAACACTCCTGCTCGCAAAAACTCACCCACTGCACCAAACTATAGAGGGACAGATAATACTCCCTACAACTGTACAACAACTCATCCTTATGGAACAGATAATACTCCCTACAACTGCACAACTCACCCTTATGGAACAGATAATACTCCCTACAACTGTACAACAACTCATCCTTATGGAACAGATAATACTCCCTACAACTGTACAACAACTCATCCTTATGGAACAGATAATACTCCCTACAACTGTACAACTCATCCTTATGGAACAGATAATACTCCCTACAACTGTACAACAACTCACCCTTATGGAAGAGATAATACTCCCTACAAGTGTACAACAACTCAACTTCAGATAGCAGATAATACTCCTTACAACTGTACAACTCACCCTTATGGAACAGATAATACTCCCTACAACTGTACAACAACTCACCCTTATGGAACACATAACCCTGTGTCCTGTCAATCATCATATCATTGCACTGTTTTCCTCTTGACCTCTTGTATAAAACTGTAATTTTATATTTTATTACTTATTTTCTATTTTATTTTGACATTTACATTTGTATAATTATGTTTTATCTGACACGTGTCTCTTGCTCCTTTTTTCTACTTATTTAGAATTGATTATTACCATTTCTATTTTTCTCTTTGTTATTATATTATATTGTGATGTGTGAACTACTGTGTCCAAATCATTTCCCTTGTGGATCAATACAGTTTGTCTAAGTCTAAATCTATATCCCAGTGTTCACAGACAATGCAGCATTCATCTGTGGAGGGCTGAAATTGCGCTGCCAACCTGTCCCCTTTACCAGTGACGTTTCTATAATAATATCTATCCACTGGGTTCTTCCACCTCCTCTAAAACAGCACTGAAATTCCAAGATCCCAATGAATTCCCAAATCTGTAAAACCGTGAGTCACCAGGAGGGGGAGGAGTTTGTCCCAGAACAATGCTCTCACGCCTCAACGCGCTTCCTCCACTTTGATGTAAAAATAGAAGGTGTTCTCCTCGCAAATACCTTTACCTTTACTGGAGCACTGTTGGGCAAGTGACTTTAAAACTGTAATGTGTTATTTATGACTTGTTTCTGTCATTTCAAAGTCATTCGTTACATTATAATATTACTGCATTTAAAGTGTAAGATGTTACATTACTATTATATTACTTTTAAATTAATGGACTGAACCAGGACTAAACCAGCACTAATCCAGAACTGAACCAGAAATGAACCAGGACTAAACCGGGACTAGTCCTGTACTGAGGACTAAACCAGGACTAATCTAGGTCTAAACCACGTCTAAATCAGGACTAAATTAGGACTAAACCAGGACTGAACCGGGACTAAACCAGGACTAAACCGGGACTAAACCAGAACTGAACCAGGACAAAACTCGGTCTAAACTAGGACTAAACCAGAGCTGAACCAGGACTAAATCAGGTCTAAACCAGGTCTAAACAAGGACTAAACCAGGACCAAATCTGGACTAATCTTGGACTAGATCTTGGAATGTAGGACCGCCCCTGAGAGAACTGTACAGGAGTGGCATTAACAGCCTGGAATTTTGGAAGAAATAACTCAGATATTACATATATATATATATATATATATATATATATATATATATATATATATATATATATAATGTTTTTCAATCTAACTGACTGTCCTGATGTTTAGTTATTTTAGATTGGTTTTCTGGAAGGAGAGTCCCTGTGGTTTGATTGGTGTTGTAATACATTTATTTGGCACCTATTTGAAGTAACAGGTGGCTTTAACCACTTAGAAAGAAGTGTGAATTCTCATTTCTAAACAGCGAACCTAAACACTACATCCTTTTACACCTTTTTGCTACTACAGTGTGTATGCAGTATTTTAATTGCACTATCTAGGGATGTCAAAATATTTAAATCTCACTTTACGATATTATCACGATATGCATCTCACGGTACGATATTTTGAAGAGGCTGATATAATTGTAGATTCTTCTTGAATTAAGAAAAAACAGAAAAAAAAGGTTTCTCTTTGTTTTTCAGTGTGTACACAAACAAAAAACTGTGACTTTGAAGTGACTATGTACAATGAGAAAATTCAAGCAGTCAGTGAAGTTCAATACCTTGGCCTCATTCTAGATGAAAATTTAAAATTTATCGGTCACACAAAATACTTGGCGAAGAAGATTAAGACTAGTCTCAGTTGCTTTCGTTTCATACATAAAGATCTATCGCTCCACACCTCCCACACAATGATCTTCACTCTTCTATCTTATTGTATCACCTCATGGTCCCAGGCTCCTCAACTACACTGAAACCACTTTGTTCATTTTACAAACTGACCCTTAAGATCCTTGACAAAAAGCCCAAACACTGGCACCACTGTGAAATTACAAAGAAACATCAACTTTTTAACTTTGAAAATTTTATCAATTTTAATAATCTTAAATTATTTAAGATAAGTTAAGTGTCTTAACTGCGATACACCACTGCACTCAGAATTTGCCAGGACCATAAAATGTTCACACAGAGCGAACACAAGAGGAGCTACTCGTGGTGATTGTGTTGTTCCTCTGTACAGGACGACTCTGGGTCAGTCTCTTTCTCTTCTAAAGGGACCAGACTGTGGAACGGTTCACCAGCTCATTTAAAACTGGAAACCAACAACAACAAATTTAAAAGGAAATTTAAATTATTGTATGTTTTCAATCAAAACTGCATCCACTGAAAATGTTCTGTATATATTTTATCTGTATGTAATTTATGTGTCTTGTATTCTCTGTTTTTATGTGTGTAGTTTATATTTTTATATGGACAGGTGTTAAAAACTAACACTTGTGCTAAAACACTCAAAGCAACGCATCTGGCTTGTCTAATGCAATTGTGATGTCCTTAATAAACATAAATAAATAAATCTTAACGTGGCTAGATTTAATTTTTTGCAGTGCATGCAATACATTTGACATTTTCACAGTTTTGAGGATTAAAATGTTTTTGTTTCATATTCACTTTGCACAAGAAGAAGTGGTTTAACAAAGACTTTTAGTGTCACAGACATTATTGAACCACATCGAATCGGTTTGAAATATATCGTATCGAATTGAAAGTGCACTGTATCGAGATATGTATCGTATCGTGGCCTAGGTATCGAGGTATGTATCGTATCGGTAACTTCTTAATGATACCCAGCCCTAATCGTGAGACTTGGATATCGTTACACCCCTAGTAGTTTCTGATGTTCATAAGCTGTTACTACTACAAAACTTGCATTTAAGCAAAGGAAATTTTCATTCGATATATTGTGACAGTCCCTCGATATTATTGTGAGACTTTTGACGATACGATATCACGATATTTCGGTTATTGTTACATCCCTACTATCTACTTTCCCATGTCCTTTTTTCTGCAATTCCGGTACAAGTTAGGAACATTTGCAGATTTGTGGTCAAAATGTATAAGCACTGATATGCCCACTGCAATCCCCAGTACTATGTGACATCACACAGAGCTGCCCTGATTACAGACAGGTGTTTCTGACGTAGTTTGAAGTGCGTACACCTGTTAGACCAATCACACGGTTCCTTATACCTGCCCCCGTGTCTGTCTGACCTGGTGCCGTTGACGTGTTCGTTCCTTTTGGTGGAGCTGGCGGCGCCCCCTGTGGTCCACTCGGGCTCTGCAGGCGGCGGGCTCTGGGTCAGCTCGGCCTTCATCTGCAGCAGCGACGACGCTCCGAACGCCGGGTCAAATAAGGCCTGGTCCTGGCTCACCACGGACAGGGCTTCCTACGACACGACACGACAGGTCAGACAGGAGCAGACAGGAGCAGAGACAGAGGAGCAGACAGGAGCAGAGACAGAGGAGCAGACAGGAGCAGACAGGTGCAGACAGGAGCAGACAGGGGCAGAGCCAAAGAAGCAGACAGGAGCAGACAGGTGCAGAGCCAGAGGAGCAGACAGGGGCAGAGCCAGAGGAGCAGACAGGTGCAGACAGGAGCAGACAGGAGCAGACAGGTGCAGAGCCAGAGGAGCAGACAGGTGCAGACAGGAGCAGACAGGAGCAGACAGGTGCAGAGATCTCCTTTTTAAATGCATCAGATTCTTGTTAGTTCATATAATATTATTAGAAGTTCATATTTCCATCATCTTTCAAATCCTCATGCTCCTTTCAATGCAAAATCACGATTTATACAGCAGGTTTCAAACCCAAAGCTCTTTACAGTAAGAGTGAGACGAGACAAGACTGGGTCCACAAGAACGAGACGAGGTGAGATTTTGTCATTATTTGTACAATACAATAAATACAGTTCTGTTCAAAAATGTGCCTTGAAATTTACCTCATTTACTGACACTGTGTCACTGCTTTTTGGACTTAAGTCTTCTCAGGAAATGGAACGCACCAGGACTTTAACAATTTTGGTCCAGTCCAAATGGAACACACAATCATTTTTCTCATATGTTCAATCTTGAGGCAGTTTTGTCTTGCAAGATCTTGTCCCACCTCCACTTTACACGGCATTATTCACTCCAAAACCAGTGCTGATAAGATACAACTGATTTATATTCATACTGGACACTGCGAGTGTCACTGGTAAAATCACTACAGGGACTAAAGGACAAACATCCTCCTGCTGGACGTCCCCAGAGTCAGACTCACACACCGGAGTGATGAGGGCCCCAGAGTCAGACTCACACACACCAGAGAGCGGATGATGAGGGCCCCAGAGTCAGACTCACACAGCGGAGTGATGAGGGCCCCAGAGTCAGACTCACACAGCGGAGTGATGAGGGCCCCAGAGTCAGACTCACACAGCGGAGTGATGAGGGCCCCAGAGTCAGACTCACACAGCGGAGTGATGAGGGCCCAGAGTCAGACTCACACAGCGGGTGATGAGGGCCCCAGAGTCAGACTCACACACGGAGTGATGAGGCCCCAGAGTCAGACTCACACAGCGGAGTGATGAGGGCCCCAGAGTCAGACTCACACAGCGGAGTGATGAGGGCCCCAGAGTCAGACTCACACCGGGTGATGAGAGTCAGACTCACACAGCGGAGTGATGAGGGCCCCAGAGTCAGACTCACACAGTGGGGTGATGAGGGCCCCAGAGTCAGACTCACACAGCGGGGTGATGAGGGCCCCAGAGTCAGACTCACACAGCGGAGTGATGAGGGCCCCAGAGTCAGACTCACACAGCGGGGTGATGAGGGCCCCAGAGTCAGACTCACACACCGGGGTGATGGGGTTTTCTGTGTCTCCGGCCCCAGACTCTGGGACAAACTGCCTCTGACATGTGACCATCCCAGACTTCAGCTTGTTTCAGACATGTTTTGCTTGTTTCTGTACTGTTGATTTTATTGGAAACACTTTGGGCACCTGGAGTGTTGTGAAGGGTTTTATAAATAAAGACCCACTGCCTCACTGTGGTACAGGGGAAATATTTCAGAGTTGTTTTTAACACAAAAAGTGTTATTTTAATAATTTGAAAGTTAAATGGGGGTTCATGTTGGGGTTATTTGTCAGAGTTGATATGGTTGAAGTGAATTCAACTTCTCTTCGTGTTATTTTGGCTCCTCCCACCCACCACTTCAAACTCGTGTGAGAGAAGACCAGTTTGAACCAGTTTTGTTCATAATTTCATCTTTTAAATGTTTGAAAGAAAATAAAGGATTTGAATGTTTTTTTACAGTGTACCTTAATTTACACTTTACAGTGTTTAGTTTCTACTCCCCAAAATGTTAAACTAACTAAAATAAAGTGTCAAAATAAAACACCTCTATGAGTTGTTAAATCAGGATAACTCTACAAATGTTACCGTTTACTCCCAAAACTCTTGATTTCAGGTGAAACAGGAACTTTGTCCAGTGTTACTTAATGAACATTTCCAAAAATGTTAAATTAACTCTAGAACAGATTGGAATCATATAAACCCTGAGAAAATGTTCAAATTGATTCTGTGAGAGTCAGTTTAACTCTGCACTTTTTGCTGTGGAGTGTTCAACTGTTCTCCTAAAGAGCTCTGACACAGCAGATACAGTCACATACTGTAGAGCACACGGGGCGAGCTGACTCAATCATACTTTAAACACTATCAAATATATCTGTTTAGAAGCACATCATTTGGTATTGATCATTCTCTGGTCTGCTGCGCACAGACGAGCCCGTGAGCGTGCACTGATGCAGCGTGTTTCCGTTGTTTAGCGTTGCTCTAAATCTGTGGTTTGTTTAGACTTGGGCCCATTGTCCGAGCGGTTCCTACGTCAGCACAGCGCCTCCGCAGATCTGCTCCGGAAAACACCCAACCTGCAACGGAACCCTCGGTCCAAAAGGAAGCTGGGAGAGGGGGGTCTGCGTATGTGTGTGGGATAGAGGGCATTGTTTCAGCAGAGGGAGGGGGGGTCAGGCATTTCCTCCAGGCTCCGTGTGCACTTCAGAGTCATACACAAGTCTGAGCTGTTTAAGGGCCCAGATGACACGATTTTCATGTTCTAATGGAGTTTCCTCGTCACAAACAGACTGGAGTTGTGTTTTGTTTCATTCACACGTTTAACCCTTACACACTGTTCATTTCTTTAGCTTTCACAGTATGGTCCAGGTCAAATTTGACCCGGACCAAGAATTCCCTTACACTAAGTGTCTCTACCAAATAAATAGACTGTCCCAAGTGAATAAATATATGTAATATATAAATATAATGTTTGAGAGAGCAGGAAGAGCATATTTTTGTAAGTTTTACAACACTCATTTTTGGAGAAAAACATCTGCTCAGTATCACATCACACAGTATCATGTCCTGTTTTACAAAACAAATAAAAACATAAAAGCCAATAAGATGATGATATTTATTGCATTTGAAAATGACATGAATATTCTGGAACTGTTGGAATTTATAATATAACCATTTTTATCCACTGCAGCCATTATGCTTAGTCAGTGCATTCAAAGCAGTGGTATATAAAATATAACATTTTAAAATGTTTTCATTTTTGTGTATTTTGGCAAAATTTAGGAAAAGTCATCAAATTTCAGGATCAAAAAATGATTCTTATTGTATTTTTACTACTGTTGAATGTCAAAACGGGTCAAAATGAACCTGAATTGTATGTAAGAGTTAACACACAAACCCTGCACTTTTACACTGAGTTCTTCTCAAACTGGAAAACACTCATTCAGGAAGTGCTCCACTGTGTTTTTAAACTCCACACACTTTCATCATTTGGATCATTTCAGCCCTGGAATTGCCGATCTCTGCTGAAGTTTAAAAGTATTTGTTAACTTGAAAAGTAGCACTACATGACATCACAAGGTGGAAGAGAGCATTTGGAGCTTTGGAGATGTAGAGAGACTAATAATAAAACTAGGGATGGGCATGATTAATCGATTAATCAATAATTGATCATTAAGAATTTCATCAATTTCGTTCATTTTAATTGACAAACCGAATGCAGGTTGCTGTGTGTAGTGTGACCAAACAGGTGTGTACATGTGTCTCTGCATCAGAAGGAGCGAGACACAAACAGTGGGTCAGTCTGCAACGTGCTGAAGCACAAATGTGTATTTAAAAATGACTTGTACAAGAAATTCCACACTTTCCGTTGCGTTCGGGACAAGTGTGAGTCCATGTGCACAGTGTATAAAGCAGCACATATGTTTCAGTGTCCAGTGGGAAAAAGTTTTGCCAGGTGAGAGTCGCTCAATGTGGATGACGAGTCCCCACCTCCCTCCCCCCGTACGCTGTCCTGGTTTTGACAAACACAAATCTGTTCACACTAACCTGTATTCACCTGAGTCATGTCTTTTAATCCAACAGAAATTGAACCACATCAGCAACACAAGAGCTGTAATCGTTAATTCTTCCGACAATCGATTAACAAAATTTAATCGAATGCCCATCCCTAAATAAAACATTACTCAAACATGTGCGACTGAAAGCCCGACCCAAGATTTTGAATACAACACAGTTAACGGGCAAAGGGTTTATACGATTTGAATAGGCTATTGTTTTAGCCTCATTTTAACTGCCGTCCCAGAGTGCTACTTTGTCAGTACTAATGTTGCTGCCTGGGATCACTCAACACACACTCAGACAGGTGGATCAGCCAATCAGGGGCATATCAGGAAAGAAAAATATAAAATCTGACAGATAAAATAAATGAGTGAAAAACATGGTCGATTTCTGCAGAATCATCGAGCAAAGCACAAAATTCTCTTTTGTTTCACAAGTGTCACTGAAATAAACAAACGACCGGACGATCACGTTTGTCTGGAGATGTGACGGAGGGAGGGGGACCGCACTGATACTGATCTGTTCAAACAAACGGACATGTCGGAGTGTGGATCAGAGCTGCACACGTTCAGGAAAATCACACGATGTTTGGGTTGTTTTGTGCTGGGTGTGACTTTTTACACTGACGTCTCATCAGATATACTTGTGTGCTCTGGAGATTTTTTTTTTACATACGAGCAGTACCTTGAGTAGGGCCCAAGGACTGCAACTTCTGTAAGATTAGCATTTTAGTTTAAGTCTCAGGTCACATTTTAAACCCATCTAGATTTTTTTTTTTTTTGAACAATTTGAGTGAAGACTAGAATCTGAACAGTTTAACTAATCCCAGAATCTAGTATTATATTTACTTGAGAATGGATTTAAAAAGTCTAAATGGTGCTACAGTGGGGCAGCACCAAAATAACACATAACAAAAACTATTATTGTGTCCTTAGGCAAGACACTTCACCTACATTGCCTAGTGTGAAAGTGTGTGTGCGTGAGTGTTGCTGGTGGGTGGAG